ACAGTTGCTGAAACTGACATGTCTACATATTTACTACACTTTACCATGCCTGCAGCGTGGCAACAGCCATAGCATGTGCACGAAATTAGTTGCCACATGGAAAACATATTTGTGGCAACTATCACAATCGATCAGGAAATTATTTGCCATACGGTGCAGATAGTTACTAAAACTACCACGTTCGCATTCATACTGCGCTTTGAAAACAACTACCTAGATCTAGGGTTCGATGGCAACTACCATAACTTGAAATTCATCAACAAAATTCTCACTACATTGATCGCAAAATAGCATTCCGAGGCGACGAGCAACTATAGGACAGAAAAATGACGGCCTAATTCCAAGGCACAACCAGCATTTGGCTCCGGACAGACCGAACCACACCGGCGTGACCGCTCCCGCCGCGGCGACGAAACTGCTCAATGCCACCGAAAACGGCAAGCGCAAGTCTCCGCTGCCGGCGGGAACGCCGGCGCATGGCGAGCCCGCCTGAATCTCGATGAATCTCGAGCGAAGCTTCGACCACGGAGGGGAGGGGAGAAATGCTGGCAGGATTTTGATCGAGGGAGGGAGCATTACCTTCAACCTGCAGGCGCTCTGGCGAAGACGCTCCGGTTCGGCGAGCCCCACCAATGGCCGCGAATGCCGTCGACTCTTCCGCCTCTGCCGTCGCCTTCTCCTCTCGCCTTCTCCTCCAATCGACTGAACTACGGGGCGGGTTGTGCGGGTAAGTGAGGGGAGGAGTAAATGGAACCGTGAGGGGAGGGGGGGCGAAGTGCGCGACGTGTTTGACGGCAACAACGAACGGGTGTCGCGTGCGGACGCATAGCAGTTCCACCGCACGCCCCCGAGTGGCAACCGCTGACCGCAGGGAGGCAACCAGCGTGTGGGCGAACTATGTCACACGCCATACACGCGCCTTGTCCTACGTGGCAAACAAAATCAGCCAAAATGTGCCAAGATTCATGCAGAGACTGCTGAACGACGATGGAGGTGTGTGGCTGAGATGCCTAATGCCCACACGTGTGGGCGTTAACATTTCCGTTTATTTATACGTTGTTCACGGAAAGATGGAAGGTGTTTTCCTTACCTTGTGTGGTAAAAAAAGAAATAAGAGCATCTACAGCGAGACTTTGCAAATCCGGCCCCTCAAACGTCCACGGAAACTGACCGGACACGCTTCAAATTAGGCACTTTGTGCGAACCAACCTGTGATTGGATGGTTAGAGGAACGATGGTCCCCAGCCCACCAGGGTTTTAGGATTATTTCAGGATTTCCCAGCCCACTAGCGGCGGAGGTGGGGTCAGCATGGCCTTTGGCGAAGACATGGGCGGGGGCAACCGCATGATCGGAGATGTTGACAGGACGTGGGCGGGGCGGCGGCCGGCGAAACGCTAGTAGGATGCAGGGACTGGTCCAGATGCAGCGGTAGTCCAAAGGTTGGAGGCGGCCATGCATCGCCGAGGAGAGGATGAACAGGCTGGGGCTGGTTGTGTTGCAAGGCTGCCTCGTGAGGGCTGGGCTTGGTGTGGTCGAGAGAGAGAGAGAGAGAGAGAGAGAAGGGCTACTGGGCCAACGCGCGGTTCGACATAAAATTTTGATCGGGTGAAAATAAACCGGCTGGGACGTGGTTTCAGGTAGGGAAAATCATTGGTGGGGGCTGGCGATGTGGATCGGTCGAGAGGGAAGGGAGAGCTAGCGAATGAACGAACGACATACGAACTCCCCCTTTAGAAGTCTGGAGAAAGGGAACACATGGCACACGTTGTTCATTTTCCACACCTCAAAAAATCTCTCTTCTCATGTACAGATTCCCATTGCTCCTTCCCAACCCCCTGATCTCAATGTATTTTTTTTCAATGTCATTTGGATGCAGATTGAAACGTGCCCTTCGAAGATGGTACATGGATGAGGTAATGGCTAGCCTCTGCTTCGAGATTTCCTAGAAAGTAACTACTACTAGTTCTTTCTTGATCTCGACGCCAAAGAGGACACCAACAGTTCAAACTCTGTTTAACTTGCGATGGTGCAGTCCAGCGTAGATGAATGAAAACCACTGCTTAGGGTTGTGTTTGATGGACTAGGCATGGATGGTTTTATAACCCGAGCATGCTAGGAAACGCCAATAAAATTCTTTTCCATATCTCTTACCTCAATAATAATAAATCTAGAAACAATATTGATGGACATGAAGGATGTTGTGTTCATAGAGATCAACAAGAGGGAGGATATAAAAGGGATAAGCCTTAGAGCTAGGGAAACAGTAGACATCGTTGCATGCCAGAGATCACAACCTGACAGGAAAGCACCACAAGCAATCTGATCTCTACAAGCATACCATCCCCATGTCCCTCAACCATTATTAGTGGATCAATCATTGACATGAGAGGCATGGAGCACCCTCAGCTTACACAACCCATACATCCACATTTCATCAGACACAAGCAGTGAATTCCAATCACTTGAAATAGACTGTCCTATTATGCTACTAAAGGAAGTCCGGAACAACAACAACAACAACAATAGTTGCAATGTTTATGTGTTATGTTTTCCCACTATTCATTCTTTGTTGTATTTATCATCCTCATTGGTGATTTTATATTCCTTGTTTGTTGTTCTACCATCCTCACTGGTGATTTAAGAGTCCAATCCCTTTTTGACATTAAATTACTCTTGCCCTACGGTCTTCCTAGCTAGCCGCCGCCTTCAAAAAGGTAGGGTTCTCTGCCTCCCGCTGGCGCCGGTGTCAGTCCGTCCCGTCTCCGGTGGCCTTAGGGCCATGGAGATGGAGTGGATCTCGGCGCCTGTGCCAGTCCGTCCCGTCTCCGGTGGCCTTAGGGCCATGGAGATGGAGTGGATCTCGGCTCTTGCCGGTGGGAGGGCTCCGTTTTTAGATATTTTTTGAGCTTTGTTAGGGTTTGTGTCCTGCTCAGGAAGGCGAGACGGCGGCGGCTGCCTGAAGATGGAATAAAGGTCTCCCCGCCTAGCCCCCATTCCGGTGATGCATCTAGCATCATCGGTTGGCGTGTGGAGGCGTGTGTCTCCGACTGATCTATCTTTGGTAGATTTGCTCGGTTCTCTTCGTCGTTCGTCTTCATTCGTATGTCTTCAGGTTTGATCCTTTTGATCTACACTCTTCATCTGCGGCAATTGTTATTCTGGTGCGTTGGTTACGGGGCCTTAGCACAACGACTTCCCGACTGTCTACTACAACAACGTTTGCCCGGTTCCGGTGATGGAGGGGCAATGACAGCGGCACGCCTTCAGCTCACTTCGGTGCTTGTAATCGTCACTAAGTGGTCGACGAATCTTGATGCAATTTTTATTATTTCTAGTGTTTATTGTACTACCGTGATTGAAGATGAATAGATTAAAAAAAATCCCCGCATTTTTTTTACTCTTGCCCTAAAGTCTAGAGAAAAATTAATCGCACACAACAATATGTAGTTCAACTGTCATGGAATCTTTGAAAACATACCATGATGGTGCAAGATGTTAACTTGTCCGTCTCTCTCTGTATGGATTCTAAATATGATCCTCTTTAATACATGTGTTTTCTCAATTTGTGTGTGTCATCCTTGCGTATGGATTCAAAATATGCGCCCCTTTATATTATCGGATGTTCCCGAAGGGACCCTTTATACATGTGTTGGACTTTTTTTTGCATGATAATACGTGTCTCATTTATATAGAATAAAGATCAAATTACAAGGCACGTAAGCACGGACCTTACATGACTGAAAAGATAGGAAAATCCTATGCAAAATATCAGCGCCTGTCCCTTTCCTTCGACACCACCGAAGCGGCCACCAAAGGGTAAAAAGACAGATCACCTCTTCGTCCAAGCTCGACGCGGCTCCATCGCTGATCAGCAGCTTTACGGACCTCCAAAGTAGTTTGCCAAAAGCAAAACCATAGCCGTTGAAAGAATCAGACCGGGGCAACATGTCCTCGGACACGCCATCGAACTTCAGAACTGACACCCTCGCATGACGACGACGTCAGAGAAGGAAACCAGAACTGCCTGCCTTCGACCACAGACCCAACACAAGATACTCCATCTTCCAGCTGTCACTTGCGTAGACAACCGCCTGCGCGTACTCCTAAACGACAAAACCTCTCTGCTCTACCATGACGTCGGAGACAACGCCACAGCAACGGGGACAGAGCAGAAGGAGAGACACACCTGATGGAGTTGTCGCCGCCGCCTCGTCAACATCATCCATGAACCCTAACGCTGTCGATCTGAGGGATCGACAGAGACACGATGCCATCAACTCCGAGACGCCGCCATGAAGGACACCGCCGGTGTGGGAGTGGGGTTGAGGCAGATTTATTCGTCCGGGCGCCGCTCCCACCACCCCAACGACGCACCACGACCTACAAATCCAAAACCTAACTATAGAGCGGAGGAACGGGGTCCCCCCTCCCTCCGGCCGCCGGAGCAGCAGTCGAAGGGAGAGGGGGGCAGCGCACTGGCCGGTGGAGATCGGAGGAAAAAGTGCCTCGCCCTAGTCGCCTGGTGGCGGCGGCGGCTAGGATCGAAAAACGTCTCACACCCTTTTGTTTATACATGTGTTGGACTGTAGATCCATTGTAGCCTATCACCAATGTAAATTCATTTCGATAAATATTGTCTTCCAAAAAACTCATTGCTTTTTCATGCATAAATACGCCCCCACAAACTTCATTATTTTTTGGTGGTACAAACTTCATTTTTATTTTTATTTTTTTAGCGGTACAAACTTCATTTTTTATTTTTTAGGGGTTTTGTTGAAAAACATATTCTCCCCAAAACCACCACTTGAAAAATATATGCTCAATTCCTTTTGTCAATTTCAGATTGCTTTTACCACGCTTGTCGCGTGGTATATATGCTCAATTCCTCGTACCGCGGAAGCGTTTTGGGCCGGTCGATCGGAGGTTTTTGGCCCAAAACAACGAGAGCGTTAACCGGAGGTCCGACGGAGCAGTGAGCCGTCGGCGGTAAACGGGAGGAATGGCGGCGGCGGCGGCGTCCCATCTGGAGGGTGGCACGAAGCGGCGGCGGCGGAAGGACGAGGAAGTAGAAGCAGGCGCGGAGGCGGCAGAGGATCGCATCTCGGAGCTGCCGGAGGCGCTGCGGCTGCACGTCCTCTGCCTGCTCCCGCTCAAATCCGCCATCCGCACGGGCGCGCTCTCCACCCGGTGGCGCTCCCTCTGGACGCACCGCTGGCCGGCGCCCTCCTCCCTCGACTTCCGCCTCGGCGTCGGCGACTCCCCGCACCCGCTCCTCGAAACCCTAGAGCGGCGCGGGCGGCGGCGCCTCCAGCGGTTCGCCCTCTCCTTCGGCATCGGCGCGTTCAAGGCCGAGCACTTCCGCCGCTGCCTCGACCTCGCCGTCGCCTGCGCCGTCGAGGACCTGCAGGTCCACCGCGTGCACCACTTCTTCGCCCGCTTCTACAAGTTCCTGCTCCCGCTGGGCGACCCCCACCTCGCCCGCCTCTCGTTCCGCTTCATCCGCGTCGACCTCCCCAACTCCTTCTCCGCCCGCTCCCACCCCTTCACCGCCCTCGAGGTCATCCACCTCCGCTGCGTCCACATCTCCGACGACACAGTCAGCAGTCTGGTCGCCGCGTGCCCCCTTCTCCACACCCTCGATTTGCGCTACTGCGAAGGCCTCGACTCCGTCAGCGTCGCGGCGGCCGGGCCGCACCTGAGTAGCCTCACGGTTGCAGAGTGTGATCCGTGCACCGACGTTGTTTTGGCCGATGAGGCATCCGGTCTGCGCTCATTCCGCTACAGCGGCGCCTACATGCCCGCCTACAGCATCCCGGCCACCATCACTAGTCTTGCTGACCTTTACATCTGCTTCAGAGCATCTAACCGCCGGCGACGCTTGTCCGGCACCAGAATCCGGTTTTATGGACAGGAGGCTTACGCTTGCGAGCTGCGCAGAAACTGGCTTCAACTACTAACCAGTCTGTCCAACCTCACCGTGCTTACCCTCTGCAGCAGTATCCTACGGGTTCGTGGCTCTCTGCATTTCATGCCATCCGGTTGATCCCAATACTCAGTTACTGTCTTACTGATAACCTTCTTCATTGCTATGCTTTGCAGAGACTGTCTGCCAAAGCTCGTGCCAGATTAGCTGCCACAGGCGCTGCACCGTGCAAATTACTGAATTTGAGAGAGCTTCAGCTACTGATGTTCGAAGTGGAGATCAACAACATGAACGACATTTACTCTTTCCTTGTGGCATGCTGTGGCCCTCGTTTGGAGAGGCTATTTGTGCAGGTGAACACCAGCTGTTATATATTCCATTGCCTGATAACCTTTGTTGATGAACTGTTAAATTTTTTTGCCTTGTGACCTTGACAAATGCATTCAGTTACTAGTCATTGTATTGTTGCTTGCGCTTGACGTTCTTACTTATTTTGAATGCTTACTACACCCCCTTGCAGCTTCCAACAATCAATTATCCATATGAGCCAGAGGATGAACCATCAGGATCAGAGTCAGAGGAATTTGGATCAATGGGAGAGCTATCATACCAAGAGGCACATGGGGAAGATGAGCTGGATGACAACTTGTCAGAAGGAGAAGCACCAGAGAAAGATGGGCTAGAGGAACAGCTGTCAGAGGGAGATGCCCTGGAGGAAGATGAGTTAGAGGAAGAGTTGTCAGAGGGAGAAGAACTAGAGGAAGAGCTTTCAGAGGGAAATGAACTAGTGGAAGAGTTGTCAGGGGGAGAGCCACCTGAGGAAAAGCAATCACAGAAACAGGGGTCAATGGAAGAGCAATCTGATGGAGGGCAATCAGAGGAAGAGACACCAGAGCACAGCAATGTCTTTGAGAACCTTATGTTGCTCAAAATGATGAATTTCATGGGACGCTACAATGAGATGCAGCTAGTAAGCCTTGTGTTGAATAAGGCTATTAGTCTCAAGCAACTGATTTTATTTACTCCCAAGATTAATCACCCAGAAGAGCTCCAGAAGGATCATATGAATACTTCCCATTTGCTTGAAAGAAAACTATTTTCTCTCAGAAAGGCCTCGCCAAATGCTCAGATAGTTCTCAGCGAGCCTGATGATAGTGCAGTCCAGCCGTTGCATGATGCTTTGGTCAAGATTTACTGATTTTTGTTGTTGTGGAGTTATGATCGGATAATGTGAAATATCAGAAACAAGCAACCATTAGGTAAGACAAAGAACAAGCTAATCTGCAAGGTAGGCAGGATGCTGTGTTCTCTAGTCCATGAAGGATCATGGAGTATGTTTATCTGGGCCTTATATTCTTAGATCCTTAAGACTATAAAAAATACCATGATTACCCAGTATCTACATTGGCCTGTGGCCTTGTTGTTGGATAAGAAAGTCCTGAAAAAACACTGTAGAAAGCTGAGACTTGTTACGCTCTATCTTTGTGCTCGTCAATTCGCATTAGTACCACAGTAGTTCAATCAGTTGGTACGAGTGTTGCATTTTTTTTTCATTTGTCCTTATTGCCATCTTTATTACTGATTAATAGTTCTTTTCCTGGCATCAAGAGAAAAACATAAACATGTACAGTAATATGGAGTTTCAACAGGCATGAATCCTGGAAACCATACCCTAATGGTGCTAGCTGAGGCCAAATTATGTACTCCCTTAGCTTGAAAAACGTTCTTATATTAGCTTGAAAAACGGGACGTGAATTTTTGGGACATGGTGCCGCGCGAGGACGATATCTGGGCAGTCCATTTATGCTATGAGATTAGCAATTAGTATAGCGATTGAATGAATACCCAAACGATACACAGTTTAATTCGGCAAAATACACGTACATGAGTTGGTAGCTAGCCATCTTAAATGGAGCTGGATACAAGTGAACCGGCATGCAAAATATGGTCCTAGCCGCTCTGCCATGTTAATCTGACACAGACCATTTAACTGATGACCAGATGGGATGGTCTGCCAGGTTTTAAAACCTCACTTAAATGTCTGGTGTGAAATGCTGGTGGGGTGATGAAGATATTTGACTTTCGTAACATTAGCTCCAATGTTTCTTATGCACATTTTTTTATGGCCGGAGTTGTCTGTAGTTATTTGATTAATCTCTGCCCCATCAGTCACCATGCTTGTGTTTATGCAGCTTAACAACATGCACGTACATGAAAAATGTTCGTCCAAAGCATATTCTTGCCATTGCACATGTTATTGTTGGGTACACATTCAACATGTAGAGACTAGATAACTTTATATTACTAAGAGGGGTCAAAAGCAGAAACTAGATAACTTTATATTACTAAACAGGATGCCAAACCAAGCTTAGCTAATTAAGTTGCTGTACATCAGCTTCATAAGAAGGCACATGGACGAGAGAAGACATACAGGAAGAGCACATGAAGAGACCGCAAGAACCAGAGGAGGAGGATTAGTAAGGGAGGAGCTGTGGGATGGAAATGGGCTGGGGACAAAAAGCAGACTACTCGTGTTGGTTGCCTTTAGACATCTGCTCTTAATAAACGAGAGAATAACTCCTCTCGTCAGATTTGTGGGCATGGTCACTAATTGACTCTGGGAATACATTGTCCATATAGGAGTACTTCACCCTGAGAAATGAATATACCTGACGCCTAGTATGAATACATCACGGATCATGACACAATGAATGGTGAGATATAGACCTCGCGTGCCACCATGTTCATTCGTGATTTATCGTGAAAAACGTTCTTATATTATGGGACGGAGGGAGTACTACCTATATGTTTGATCAGATGTTGACCTGTCTGTCACTTTCTGCATCCGATATGTGTCACTTTCTACATGTGCTCTACTGTAAACTCATTTTCGCATGCCACTGGTGTAATCCTCAAACATATGACTACAATAATTCAGTTTAGCATGTCACTGGCGTAACTCTGAGGGAATTTGCCGCTGGTGACAGCTCAAGCCATGTCATGTTTACTTACCTATGTTATGTGTCAGGTTAGGCCTCTCCTAATAGTCATCATTTGATGCCTTGCTGGTGTGGTCATCATGTATAAACAAACAGCATGGTGGAGTGGTCGCTGGTGGTTGTGTGCTGTTGTGGGTCAGATTGTGTGCATCAAACCTAAACGAAGTTACAAAGTTACTCAGTTACTAATCCCTCTTACATTTCACGTCATCTGGTTGATCCCAATACTCAATTACTGATAACCATCTTTTTTACTATGCTTTGAAGAGACTGTCTGCCAAGGCTCATGCCAGATCAGTTGCCAGAAACGCTGCACCATGCAAATTGCAGAATTTGAGAGAGACAGCTACTGATGTTTGAAACGGAGATCGACAACATGAATGACATTTACTGTTTCCTCGTGGCCTGCTGTGGCCCTCGATTGGAGAGGTTAATTGTGCAGGTGCATGCCAGCTGTTATATCTTCCATTGCTTGATAACCTTTGTTGATGTCCACTGTTAAAGAAATTGCCTTAGGACCTTGGCAAAAACATTCAGTTAGTAGTCATTGTATTATTGCTTGCGCTTGATGTGCTTAATTATTTTGAATCCTTACTATGCCCTCTTGCAGCTTCTGACAGGGAGTTATCCATATGAGCCAGAGGATGAACCATCAGGATTAGAATCAGTTGAAAATGGATCAATGCAAGAGTTATCAGAGCAAGAGGCACCGGAGGAAGATGAGCTGGATGAAGACTTGTCAGAAGGAGAAGCACTGGAGAAAGATACGCTGGAGGAAGAGCGCAGATGCTCTGGAGGAAGATGAGCTAGAGGAAGAGCAGACAGAGGGAGCTGTCAGAGGGAAATGAACTAGAGGAGTGTCAGGGGGAGAGCCACCTGAGGAAAAGCACTCACAGAAACAGGGGTCAATGGAACAGCTATCTGATGGAGGGCAATCAGAGGGAGAGACACTAGAGGATGGCGATGGCTTTGAGAACCTTATGTTGCTCAATATGATGAATTTCATGGGGCGCGACAATGAGATGCAGCTAGTAAGCCTTGTGGTGAAGAAGTCTACTAGTCTCAAGCAACTGATACTATTTACTCCCAAGATTAATTACCTAGAAGAGCTCCAGAAGGATCATATGAATACTTGCCATTTTCTTGAAAGAAATAAACTATGGCCTCTCAGAAAGGCCTCACCAAGTACAATCCAGCCGTTGCACGAGGCTTTTGTCAAGATTTACTGATTTGTTTGTTGTGGAGTCATGGTCAGACAATATGAAACATCAGAAACTAGCAACCATTAGGTAAGACAAAGAACAAGCTAGTCTGCAAGGTAGGCGGGATGCTGTGTTCTGCAGTCCATGAAGGATCGTGGAGTATGTCGTCTGTGCCTTCTATTTTGCGGCTTAACTCTTTAAGACTCTTATAAAAATTATCATGATTACCCAGTGTCTACACTAGCCTGTTGCCCTGTTGGTGTACAAGAAAGTCTTAGAAAAACACTAGCCTGTTGCCCTAGACTTGTTGTGCTCTATCTCTGCTGCTCAATTTGCATTTAGTACAGCAGTACTTTAATCATCTGGTACGACAACGAGTGTTGCAATTTATTTTTCAGTTTTCCTTATGTATTACTGTCAGTATTGCCATCTTCATTGCTGATTAAAACTTATTTTCCTGGTGCCAGTAGAAAATCCAAAACATGTACAGTAATATGGAGTTTCCACAGGCGTGAATCCTGGGAACTGTACCCTAATTTTGGTAGTTGATGCCAAATTATGTACTACTGATATGTTTGATCAGATGTTGACTTGTCTGAATCTGTAATTCTGAATATGTGTCACTTTCTACATGTGCTCTACTGGAGACTCAGTTCAGCCTGCAACTTGTGTAATCCTCAAACATATGACTGCAGGACAAGTTCTTTGCAGCATGTGTTGCACTGTAAATTCAGTTGAGCCTGTCACCGGTGTGACGGAAGAATTTGTGGCTGGTGACAGCATCAGGCCCATGTCATGTTTGCCTACCTATGTTGTGCGTCAGGTCAAGCGTCTCTAAACAATCATCATTTGGTGCCTTGCTGGTGTGGTCATGTATAAATAAGCAACATAGTGGAGTTGCCGGTGTTGGTTGGTTGTGTGCTGTTGTGGGTCAGAGCATGTGCACCAGATCCAAAGGAAGCTACCAAGGCACTAGACCTTTATCCCCCAGATTTTGCAAGATAGGCTGGGTGTTCAGTTCTGTACTCGGCGAAGGATGAAATATCATTTGAATATATTGTCTGGCCTTATATTTGGCACCTTAAAGATCTTATTGATACAGTTTCTGAATCAACATTGTTGCCTTATCGGTGTTTTGCCTGGAACGAAGTGGTCACAATTCAGTGCAATAGCTGGGCAACAAGGTCGTATGAATATAGTGTAGTAGGTTGAGACTTGCTATGCTTTTTTTTTTGTTGCTCTCATCAATCTTCATTTAGTGAGACTCGAGACTTGCATTGCAGTGATCAGCTGGAACATCAGCAACAATTAGAGTGTTATGTTTTCCCACTTTTTCCTTGTACTGCTTTAAGAGTTTACTCCCTTTTAGGCATGATAAAAACTAAATCATGTAGTTCAACAGGAATGAATCCTGGAGACAGTACCTTTTAGGCCAAATTCGTCTTCTATATATCTTGTCGTCAGATGTCGACTTGCTTGTCATTCTCTGCATCTGGAAAGATCTGAACATGTGTCCCTCTGTACATGGGTTGTCACTGTAAATAAACTCAGCGGAGCCTGCCACTTGTGTATTTCATAAACATCTGACCTCGGCAGAATTTGCAGCCGGTGGCAGCATCAAGTGGTAAGCATGTCTCTTTTGGGGGAATGTGCTAAGCTGCCTAAGCATGTTACGTTTGCTTGCTTATTATGTCAGGTCAAACCCCTTGCTGGTGTGGTGATCGTGTATGAATAAAGATAGAGAAAGAAACATGATGCAGTGGTCACTGGCGGTGTTGTGCTGGTGTGGGTCAACGCATGTGCACCAGACCAGATCCAGACGAAGTTACCAAGGCATCAATCAATCAGATCTTATCCCCAGATTGTGGAGGTTAATAATAATTATTGATTTATGCAGAGACCGGTGAGCATTGCTGATTGCCATTGCCCAGCGGCCAGGTAAAGAGCAGAGCAGGTAGGCTGTTGGCCTGTTGCCCTCCACATCTCTTTCGATCTTC